CACAGACAGGTGAGCGCAGACAGGTGAGCGCAGACAGGTAAACACAGACAGGTGTTTATTATTTATCTAATTCAGTCCCGACAGAACCTGCTAGGTTAGCTGCTGTCATCAGCGTGCAGTTTAATGGTTTGACTCTTATAAAACAGCCTGCGCAGGTCAAGCAAACCTGCCTGTCAGAGCAGGTGCTGATGTGATGACACCTGTGTTTGTTGTGTTGATTTCACTCGTCTGAGTGCGACTGTTGTTTCTGTTGTTCTCATGCAGACATGACCGACACACAGACACAGAGCAGCTCGTACCTGCTCCACGCTGCCGTGGCGATAGGTCAGTATCCTGGTCACATTCTTGAACTCTGCATAGCGACTGACGTTTGATTTGATGAGCAGGTCGACCAATGAGCCGCGAGAGTACATGAGCTGGAGGGAGATGAAGATGAAGCAACCGGAGCTCGGGTCAAACAACCAATCAAAAAGCAGTGGGATACACTGAGGGAGACGATTGGCCGAGAGGACTGTCCTTTGCTGTGCTGATGTCATGTTACCTTAGAAACCAGGTCAATGTTGAACCGGCGTCCTTCCTTTTCCAGCTGGGTGTAGCTGATTTTCTTCCTGGTTGGCTCTGATTGGCTGGGAGGAGCAGAGGGCTGTGGCTGATCCGCTTCTGGCTCCTCCCCCTGTTCCTGAGCAGCCTGTGATTGGAGGAAGTATGCAGTTATTATTGTTCGGCCAATCAGGAATTGATGTGAATGTCAGGGGAGGGCTGCTCTTCCTCACCTGCTCGTCTCCCTCAGCGGCCTCACCTGTTTCTTCTTCTTTTGAACCTGAAAGAGCTGATTGGTTTAAAACCTGCTAATCGAAGCTCAGAGAGTTGATACAGGATCAATATAAGACAGACCTGCTGATTCGGTCTCTGATGGCTCTTTAGCAGCGTCTTCACCTGCTGCTCCAGCCTCTTCTTCTTCTGTGGTGTTTGGAGGCTCCTCCTCCTCCTCGGCTTCTTCACTGAGAAGTATTGATACCTTAATCAATAAACTGATCTCTAGCTGATGTGACCTTACAGGTATGCAGGAGTTTACCTGATGTAGCAGAACACCTGCAGGTTACTGATGGAGGCGGAGTCTGAGCCTGACAGGTAGATCAGCTCCTCCCCTTCTTCCACCAAGCTTGACCGATCCTGGACCTCCTCTGACAGAGACTCTGCCTACAAACACACAGGAAACTCACTGATGACTTCCTGTTGGGCATCTGGCCCCGCCCACCAAATCAACAACCTGACAATCAGTAACTCTTACTTTATGCTCCTGTATCCAGGTGAGCAGAGCGTTGAAGGTGAAGCTTGCCCAATTGGCTGCATAGTAGCTCCGCCTAAAGACACACAGGAAGCTGTCACTTCCACAATAAAAGCATCACTCTATGCTCTTATTCTGACACTCTGACATCAATCAATTGATCTAACTGACTGATCTATCTCTGATAAAATATTTTATTGCTGTAATGTGAAAGCGTTTCTATAGCAACGCCCTCAGTTATCAATATACAAATACATCAATTCAGCAGATACTTATTGATTTGACCTTACCTTTGAAAACATTCTGTAATTGATAACATTGATTATTAATCAGTAAGTGTTCTTGATGAATAAGTAATGACCTGTCGACGTGAAGAACTCTCTGTCCAACTCTGGAACACGCGGCTGCCACCACCGACTCAGCAAGACCTGATCACACAATCAATAATCAATAAGCAGCAGCAGGCAACAGGAATGAGGGGACATAAGGAGAGAAAGCTAGGAAAGGAAACAAGGAGACAGAAACCAGGCCTCAGCACAACCTGCACACAAAATCTATCATCAATAATAACACGAAAGGAAACAAGGAGAAAAGTCTAGGAGACAAAACAAGGAGAGATACCAGAGGAGGGAATGAACAAGGAGATACAATAAGGACAGAGCAGAAGGAGAGGAGACAAAAAGACGTCTAGGAGGCACAATTAGGAAGAAAAACAAGGAAAAGAGACAAGAAGTTACATGAGAGGAGGACACAAGGAGAGAGGAAACAAGGAGACAACGAGTCAAGATAGCAGAGAAAACAAAAAGAGGAGACAAGGGGACAAGAACCAAGGAAAGAAAACAGGGAATGGAGGAGAGGGAACAATTAGAAACAACAAGGACAGGACAGAAACAAGAGCAGGAGACAAGGAAACAAGGTCAGGAAACGGAAGAAAGGAAACAAGGAACTTGAAAAGAAAAAGGAAACAAGTAGATGAGGGAACCAAACGAGAGACAAATGAAGGACAGGAGATAAGGAGAGAAGAAGGCACTGATCCTGTATCGATCAGGTTATTGATAACATGTGATCACTTTACTACTGATAATTATGAAAGTAAACCCTAAATATTGACTGTCGATCATTAGGACTCAAAGTGGTTCAGTGGTTCTGTTCCGATACCATAGCTCGATCACACAGACAGCTGATTCATCCTGGCACACAAACAGTTAGCATCACGTAGCCTAGCCGTTAGCTTCCTATCCATAAGAAACAGATGGATGTTAGGAGTGCTAGCCTCTGTTAGCGGCACTGCGAGCTAACCCTGATAAAAGCTAAAGCACCTAACGTTAGCGTCAGCCCAACAGCCGCTGTCCTGCCTATTAAAGTGATCAATGAGTGATCAGACATTTATTAAAAATATCTCTTATGGGCGCTGAGTCTATGTATGTATCCAGGGGCTAACCGCTGGCCGAGGGTTAACGGCTAGCCGCTGCTATTGAAAATGCATTGGCCGTTAGCTGCAAGCTAATCCCTACTCATACCCCTGTTTTGTCCGGTTTACACCGGGATCTCGGGATGTTTCGGACCGAGCCCCGGCCACGACATGGTCCGGGTTAGAAGACAGCCTTAAACCAGGTGTTGGAGTACCTGTGCCCAGAATGACCACGTCAAACTCAGACGGCAGATCCTCCGCAGCCATGTTGTTAGCAGAGAAACACAAAGTCACGTGACAGAGTTTTTTTCCTGAATTGAATTATCGAAAATAAAATTCTTCACTTATTTTCTCCCGAGGGTCTGAAAGTGTTGCATCTTTGTTTCTGTTTGTGTGACTCGTTGATGTCATCATGAAGCAGCTCTGCCAGCTGTTCCCACATCTGTGAATCAGCAGGAAACCAGGTCTGACGTCACTGTGTCACCCTTTAGTGTACTAATCAGCAGCAGCTGATCACAGAATAGCTGGACATGAGCTTGTAGAGTAAAATCCTCCTTTTAGACAAACACACGAATATGAAACATGCAAGTGGGGAAGGTGGTGCTGATTATCACTCATAATGAGACACAGCACATTTATATGAGTCGTTTATTCATTCTAACTTGCTGAAGTTATTGTGTTATAGGCTCTCTTTACTGTTGTCACACTGACAGTTTTCAAGTTGTTAATGAACAAAAACAATGAAATAAAAGATTTTGCTGTGAACAGACATCAGGAGGAGCTCTCCATGCAGGTGAAATAAGCCATCCTTAATCTGCCAAAACAAGACACTGTCGCTATCACTATTGCTGCTGGGAATACCAGGAAGCGAGGCATTCCAAATGAATGGCCAAACTCTCTTTGACCGACATTTCAAACTTTGGACTCGCTCGCAGGTCAGGTTTGATTGGAGCCAGTTGTTTGATGTCTGGGAAACTCAGGGGGAAAGCAGTGGATAACAGGAAGTTGTCACAAAACACTGTCTGTATTTCAATTCAATTTTATTTGCACAGCGCCAAATCACCACAACAGTCACCTCAAGGCGCTTTACATTGTACAGTAGACCCTACAATAATAGCTAGAGAGAAAACCCAACAATCATATGACCCCCTATGAACAAGCACTTTGGCGACAGTGGGAAGGAAAAACTCCCTTATAACAGGAAGAAACCTCCAGCAGAACCAGGCTCAGGGAGGGGCGGGGCCATCTGCTGTGATTGGTTGGGGTGAAACAGGATAAAGACATGCTAACCCATGAACAAATTGGAGTCTATTATATCAATATTGTTGGTGCACTTTGTCCAGCCATTTGTAGATTCAAATTTTTAGATCTAATTAAAATTCAACCATTCCAAAAGATCCTTTGGAAACCCAAAGAGTTTTTTAAACTTTCTTTTTAAATGTTTACAAACACCAAAACAGAACAACACAAAACGAAGCAACCAGGTGTAGAGCGTAAAGCAGTAATAATAGAGACAGACAAAGATGAACACACACACACACACACA